TCGAGCATCCTCACGTCTCCCTATGCCTTCGTCGCGGAGCAGCCCAACTACCAGTGCTCCGTCGAGATCTACTCGTACCAGCTCGCGACGTTCCCGGCCGCGGATGGCTACACCATTCTCTTCGCCAATATCTTGAACAGCTCGGACGTAAGCACTCACATACGCTTTTATCGGGAGAGCTATCTCATCTCTTGTTTAGGTCTATGCCACCAGCGAGGAATTCGAGCTCAAGCCTCAAAACGCCGCGTACCCTGCGTCGTCTGCTACCCCGACGGGTACTGGTTCTGCTACTGCCTCGGCGAGTGGTACTGCCTCGGCCTCGGCCTCTTCTACCTCCGGTTCGAGCCAGAAGAGCGGCGCTGCCGCAATGGCCGCCCCCATGGGTGGTCTCGCCATGATCGGCGTTGTCCTCGGACTTGCGATGGCTTAATTTTCTTATTGCCGCATGACTTCGATCCTTGAACTTGGCACCGGACTCGTTGGGCTGCACGTCGTTAGTTCATGTGCTTATAGGACTACTGCATCACATATCTTCTCAGTTTGGAACAGTTGAAATTATCTTGTTACTTGGGAGCTCTCATGCTTGTACCGCCCACGCTCGTTATACCATACCACTCGTTTACTACTTGAATTCCGTCCTGCATAATTCCTCGCCTAAATTGCGGTATGATTTCTTGAGGCCTTCGTTAACCACGTGGTGAGCCACGGTCCGCTTGCCGTGAAATTATGATCGGATTGTACTCTACAGAAAAGGAGCGTGGCGCATATGGGCGGATACACATGCATATGGAGGTTTCCTATGTACGTGTACGAATTTGATATGTCCAGATCTAGAGGTAAGTAAGTAGTCCATGATCCGTTTAACGAAAGCGCTTTGCATAGCCGAAATGGATGTCCGAGAACCTGGATAGCGCGACTGAGGACAACAGCGGCTCGAAGTGGTGGGAAATTAACTGTGGAAGAAGCATGGTAAGCAAAGTGCGTCGTTGCGCGGGGCACTTACGGCAGTGCTAGCCAGAGGTCGAGCAGCTTCGGGAAATTCAGCGTGCCCAGGCCAGTGACGGGGTCCCAGCCTGGTTGCGCGGAGAAACCGTCTGTGCCGCAGCCTGGGTTGTTTCCGGAAGTGATATCGTTGAATCCACTAGAGAAGTTGGAGCTGTAGATCTGTACGAGGGCCCACAGCGTCAATGCCACAGTAATGCAGGCGTTGGTTGGTGGAACTTACGGTAGGGTTGATGAATCCGATGGGACTCTTCCCCGCGGCAAGTCTGGCATCGTTCACGCCGGAGAGGATGGCAGCTGCCGTGGGTGCAGATGCTGACGTGCCCGCAACGAGCTGAATCAGTCCATTGGAAATGACAGAATAATTCAGTCTACAACGCGCGTCAGCTAAGCCTGCCCTGATCAAGGACATATTAGCACCCACCCATTGAGTGCAATGTCCGGGTAACCTCGGGATATGCCCGAGGAATTGTACACATCCGCAGCGTATGCGACGGAATAGTTGTTCAGGTAGCCATGCACGGCGTCCACCTGCCAGTCCGGGATGGCGAACACATTCGAGAACCCGCCGCCCGAGTAGATGTTCGTGTCGCACGCCACCTCGGGGTCATTCACCTGCCAGACACCCCCGTTAGTTGTCCACGTCAGCGTCAATGTCATTGACAGAGGGACATACAGTCTTGCCGGGTTGAACCTGCGTCGCGCCCACAGAGGTCACGTACGGACACGTCCCGGGGAAGCCGGGGTTGAAGCGCGTGCCGCTGTAGGACTCGGCGCCATCCGCGTCTAGACATTCGCCGTTACCTGCTACGCCGTTGTCGCCTGAGGAGTAGAGGAACGTAACGCCCATCAGACCGAGCTGCATGGCTGTGAGAAGGTGCCTTGAAAATGCAGGTCAGCGCGTACCTTGCCGTACTCGTAACACTGGCGCTGGATGTATGCCGGCCCGAGGAGTGCCTCGGTGTAGCCGTAAGAGGTTGAGATGATATTTGTCAGGGAAACAGTGCCGCAGTCTTTGCCTAAATTCCGACGTCAGTAAAGATTACAGTCGCTCAACGATGCGCTTACTGTCATATTCGGAGTCAGGGTAGACGCCGTCGAATGTAGTGTTGTCACCACCATCGTAAGTACAGTATGACGCGTCCAGGGCATCCAGGAAGTTGTTGAACGACGCGCCTATAGTCATGATGTTTGAGCAAACGTACTTCAAACAGGATACATACATACCCTCGACAAGGTCTCCGACTTGATACAATGTAACGTTCTGGGTTGAGCCTACGAGAGCCATGGCATACTGCAGATCCAGGTTCGCCTCTCCGTTGATACTGAAGCCTTCGAAGCTTGTCTGCTCATAACCTATCGCCCAAGACTCAGACAACGCCCCCTATTCAAGGGTGAATACACACCACCGTCGATGCTCACCACGACCGGGCGTTGGCCAACCTGAGTCGGCGAGTAATTCCCGAAGAACATGTCCATGTCCGCAGGCAGGTACGCTACTGGAGTGTACTCAACTGGCAGAGACCAAGTCAGTCGGTGTGCGCACGCGCGATGTGCAGACGTACCTATTCCAATGCTATTCTTATCCGTCGCAACAGGTGTGTAGTCATAGCCATACAGCGCACGAAGACAATCGGGGGTGATCTGCTCGTCGCAACTCGTCGTGTTGAGCAACGCGGATTCGACTTCGCCCATGAGCTTCGGGTTCACGATGCCTGCGCCCGGCTGACCGATAGACGTGTCTATCGACCGCTTCCTGCCCATGTGCACATCGAAGTGCAGCGTAGGCATAACGAGATCGACGTGCTCTGCGACATGCTCTGGCAGGTGGTACTTCTCCTCGCAGGCGATGTGCTCGACCCCGCTCTCGCCGTGCTGGTAGACATGATACTCCGTGCCAAGCAACATTTCCGCCTCCTCGACAGTCATATTTGCGTGGATCCAGCTACCGCCCTTGCTGAGCTTGACCCTGCTAGCGTCGAGCCCTTCGTCTTCCAACCATTCCAGCACGGTTTTGACGGCCGCGGGAGGCGGCCTGAACATCTCTGCGACCTTCGCCGCGCTCCAGTGCTTGCCATAGTTTGGAGACTCGGGGTGTGATATTTCAAGGAGGTAATCATCAAGGGTCTCTAGGTTGGGCTGAGTGAGACCAATGCGGAGGGGAAGAACTACGTCTGCGGCTGCGCGTCGTACGGGCGTCCAACCGGAGGGTGTTGCATCACGCTTTTCGTGAACAACTCGAGGAGAAACAATAGCCGTTACGAGGAGCGAAAACGTCAAGAAAACGAAAGACTGAGTAAGGAAGGGCATCGTCGTCGACGGCGAGAAAGAAAGGATGTCTTCGCCGATGCTGCGCACGCCCTTGCCGACATCTTATGCGTTATCCTCGAGGCTTAGCCTAGTATTGTCTTCTTGCGCGGTAGAATCGTGCATGCAGAACCTTTTAAGTATCATTGAAAGTAACATCCCCATTTTGAACGTCTTCTACCTCCCTGATTTGGCTTAGCTTTGCAGAAGCAACACGGCGACCTTGTACTCGTGGCCGACCTCCGCTAAAAGGTTGTCGATCTATTATCATGCCTGTCCCACTACTTTAAGTACCTGGTCTAATCCATTACGGTATATTCAAGGCATAGTGCTGAAGGTATCACTATCAGCAGCATCTCACGGATGTCTAGAGAGGTGCATACGAGAGGACAGAAGCAATCTTCCTTTCAGTCATCACCTCGGTATCACTTGATGACGGGCAGAGTCCACTAAATCGCATAGGATCACATGAATCAGCCATTAGTGCATTCAGAGCAGGTCACGCATGCCGGAATCATATCGTCATAATGCATGTAGATAGACAGCGAGTGACACGTTCCAGAGTCAGCCAGAATACAGGAAGACTCATCACTTTTCTCCAGTAGCGTCTCCCAAAACACGATACATACCGCTTGTACGTCCGCGTGCTTAGAAGGTCGACGGACGGTGTGCAACAAAGGTGGAGCGGGTCTTGCCAACGCGGTGGGGAAGAGGGAATTTGAGCTTGGGCGTAAGGAGCTGCCTGATGTACGGCCGGCGAACGTCCTCAGTCTTCTCAATCTCGACGACACGGAGAATCTGAAGAGGCCAGTCAATCAGGATTGCCGCACTTGCAACAACGTAACACGCACGTGGATCGACCGGAAGCGGGCGCGGTGCCTCGCGGCCATGTCCTGGTAGAGGGCCTTGACGGCGTCGGCACGGCTGAGCTCACGGAACTCCTTGTACATGTTGTGAGTTCCGGACCGCGAGTCGTAGCGGAGCCAGATGCCGAAGTTCTTAACCTTCAGCGGCTTCTTTTCGTGGATCTACGGGGGCAGCCATACGCGGCGCCGGTCAGCTCCCACTCCGCTTGCCATTTGAACGGCTGCAAGGGACTCTACTAACAACATTGACGCCAATGATTTCGCCACTGGCCTTCTTCACCTTGTCAAGACGCCTGCACGCTGAGGTGAGCAACTGGCATGCGAGATAGGTACCACCACTCTGTAGTGCCATGTTGAGACGAGTGCGCACCTCAAGAAGTACCAGAACCGCGACTTGGCGACGACTTCATTGGGCGCGAAGATCCGCATGCGGTAAATCTTGGGGGTGGGCTCCGACTCAGTCGGCAGATGGCGCCCGACGACCTGGAACTCTTGGAGAGGCATCTGTAGAAGAGACGAGTGAGCGGTCTGACATCCGCACCAAGACAGCGCCATCCATCCTTCTCGCAACAGCAACACACTAACGGCTGTAGCAGGAAGAAACATAGGACGCAAACAGGGCAAGAACATACCTTGAGATATGTCTTACCTCTTGACGGGGGCGTTGTCGTCAGCGTTGAGTGCAGTGTGGAGAGCATCGTTCATAGTGGCGGGAAAGAGTTACGGCAATCTCCGACGGAGTCTAAATCGCTGTGGGCGCCTATACTTACTGTCTCAGAGTGGTGATGTAGTACACTCGACCTCAGTGCATCTACGTTTCATAAGGTTCCCATCGATTAGTGGTCAGATCGTCACGTTGTGGCATTGCTGAAATAGGCGAACAAAACCGTGGAGACGGGGGCTCGACTCCCCCTGGGAACATATGTTTCCTTTTGCGTGGGGACTGCTTGATACATCCATAGCCCATCATGCTAAGTATATGTGCCTGTCTGAGCACGCGTCGTAGATCTTTGGATGACTTTGCGTATAATAAGAATCTTAGGACTGCGAACATGCTCCGTCAAGGTTCTCCAACAACGTCCAAACAAGTTCGTTTGCCCGCGGTGATTCCGAATTTGGGCAAATGAGTATTAGCCACACCCATACTCGAACATAAACCTCGCATCTGTTCTCACGTAGTGTTTGTCCGCTGTAAATGACGTCTCGTTGGTCACAATTTGAGGTGGGATTCCGGTCCAATTTGAGGCGGGCTCGAATTGCACTGTGTCTCCGATGCCGCATACAGTCCCCCTCCGCAAAGCACAGGTCAGCACCGGGTTCATTGTTGGCACTCCACGTCTTCTTCTAGCTAGTATGTGCTAGTTATTTATACAGGTAACATTCAGTCCAAGAGAGTCGAGCTGTAGTTTCTTCCACTGATCCGATGGCCCGTAACACACAAGATCCCCTAGTTATGATAATGTAGCAGGTCATCTGGACAACACTATTATTGATACACTACTAAGCTGGAATACATCTATGCAATGACAACAATGTCCAGAGGCACTCCCCACTGCCTCAACAGTTGGCTCTACTCCGCTCCTGTCATTTTTCCCGTGTTACCATCTCAATTTCTTCTGGCAGGTCTAGCACATCGTCGGTGATTGCCATCTCAATGTCGCGAGGGTTTTGGCGATGAGCGCTCTCGGGTATTGGCACTGTCAGGATATCGCCCGACTGCATGTCGATCCGAGACGTGAACAGTAGGGTTGTCGAGTTGTCGCTGCTTGAAGGGCTTGCTAAGGTCGAGTTTATGCCTGCGCTTTCATGTAGATTGAGCATGAAGCGTGACATCATGGTTACGGATACACTGGACCCCTTTTGTGAGGTAGGCATATGCAGAATCGGACACCGGCCTCACCTGCTGGCGACTGTCGACAAGGCACCTCTCAGCAGTGGCTACGTAATTTTCAGAAAGCCATCTTATCACGTTCAAAGAAGGCGCATTTACCTGCAGAAACTGGGGGATATGTGAGCGAAAATGAGTAAATATGAAAAAGAGTGGGTCGCACGTAGAATGTCAGGGTATTTGCCAGGTTGGCGGATGCCATAACACTATGGTCGAATAAAACAATCGCCTATGGGAGTAATGAACGGGTGCCTACGCGAAATATACAGCTCCTGTAGTCAAGTCAGCGAGAGGAATACAGATCGATGAAGGATCCATTACCATCCCGCGAAATGAGACTGGCGAGGTTCAGCTTATCCCTACGCAAGGGATACAGCAGACGTTGCTTCCAGGTCTTGTACATTGTCAGAGAAAAAATCATGCAGTCAAATACAAAGAGGCATTCCCACGCGACGGCAAGCCCTGGAGTAGCGAGCCAATCAGCCCATGTCATACGTCACCGGATGCATAGAACACATACGAATTGCACTTGATAGCGTCAGTATTTATAAAGATGAGCATGTGGAAGAACCGCGAAGCACAGGCACGCACGTTATGTGGCTCGCGGCAGCATGACACCCTCCAATCAATGAGATGCTTGAATGCTGCCCAATTACAGCATACTTTCATAGCGGCTGATTATCATAGACACCAGGTAACATGGAACGCACTTACAATAGCCAGACCAGCAAGAGAGAAGCCGACGACGAGAATCAGTCCAGCCACGTATTTGTTGCGAGAGTAAAGAGCGGACGTTCTCAGGAACAGAATGACTACCGCGTAGGGATTAGTGATCACAGGGTTGTGCGTCGAAAGGAACGCGTACTCACTGCAGACGACGACTTGAGCACCGATCAACAGAGCCTGCCGGTAGAAGGAATATTGGTTGCAACTGGCACAGAAAGGTTCAGCTGCGTCGTAAAGGAGTAACACTAGCCAAACCTCTACAGTGAAAGTATGCTTAGCGCAAGCCACACAGAGCAAGAGAACACTTACCCGTGTTGTTTTGAAATTATAGAAGTTGCCAACGTTGACGGCTATATCCTGCGAGACCTCAGTGAAGTTTGCGAACGATCAATGTAATGTCGCTCACTCCGAAGAAAGTCAGGTAGCGATTCACATAGAACGGATAGTTGCCTCGCGCGCCACGCTGTTTCCATATTCGTGCATACTCGTCTCCGAACGTCAATGAATAGTCGTAATAGAAGATGACTGGGAGACAGTAGGGACAATCAATGCGGGAGTCCATGATCAATATCAACGCCATTTACTCATTCCGACGAGATGCAAGTAATTGTGGAGGAAGCTGTCAACACATGTCAGCGATCGGTTGAATCATGTAATGCAGCATGGGTACAGACATTTGGTGTTGTTCGGAAGCCAAGTCGTCGGTGTATACATCGCTCATCGTCAGGACGGTCAGCCAGGCCTCCGAGATGACAGTTTGAGCGAAAAGCTCAGAGACATATGGCGTGGCTGCAAGCGGTGGGAACGAAGAGGCACGGCCATGACGAGGGTTCCTTATAGCGGGGTTATGCACTGAGGTTTACGGCCGCTGCCAGGGAGATCGAACGCGAGATCGGGTGCCGTAAAGCTGCTACTCAGCTTGATTGAATCATCCACCCCGCGTGCGTCCCGGGCCAATCGCGAGCGGGGAACCTTGTGAGAAGCGAGGCACAAGTCGCACAACGAGTCTGGACAAGCTCACCAGCTCCGCGCGCGTGATGTGGTATTGGCTCAAGCGCCCATAGCTGTTGACCTTTTCTGACATATCGCGCCCAGCCACATCAACATCGCCAGTCAGCGTCCCAAATTGTCTGTGGCGTTAATCCAACATCATCCAAGCGAACATGATATTCGCCCACTGTTCGCCCTGCCTAGAAAATGTGCAGACTCGGGATCATTGTCACCCTGATTTGTTTGACAGCGCGTTAGATTGCGAGCGCGACCTGGAGGGTGAGAACCACCGTTGCCGGATCATACTCGTGTTACAGGGCAAGAAGAACGAACAAGCTACGTGCCTAAGTCGTCTTTGCTGCGGCAACAGGGTGCATGCCACCACCGTGAGAGGGATGAGCAAAGTTATAGGCCGGCGATAGTTGCGTCAAAATGCCGATCGCTCCTGCCCCGAGATGTCGGAACTTGCACTGCTTGGTGCTACCGGTGGACGCATCTGGAACCACTTATCATCGAGCCTCGGGCAATACAAGGGCCTCGGACGGAAGAATGCGCTCCACACGAGGGCGAGAACTCCTCCAGCACCATCTTCAAGCAGTAGCTGTTCCATGCTGTAGTGAGTGGACTCCCCGAAGTAGACTCGAAGCCCATCACTTACCACGACAACCACGTACATTTCGATGTCCACCAGATGACCTCCGCGATTCTGACAGTTATTTGACAGCCGCCGATCACACAGATTCGATGCCATCTCCGGAGAATACGTTTCGCAATGACGGCTATGAACATCGTACCATCATCTCGCAGATCGTTGTTCTGCATGTCAGATAAGGAATTACGGTCTCGCAATGATGTGTTTCTCCTGCGCTCTGCACAGCACTACGAAGCTGACGAATGACAGTGATGAAAGCTGGAACATCCGGGGGGTGGCAACGCGACGGCATACTTGGCAGAAACGCTATCGTGGACTACGTCAAGTCAAAGCTCTGAAGAGACCCACGTCCACACTGCGCTCAGAACCTGTCTGGATGCTGACAGTGAGGCGCTGTCTTCGCACTGTCTATGGGATCCGCGTATCCATGAGTTGCGATAATGGGTCCGGACAATTTTTTTTGATTCGTAGGTACAGGCCCTGACATGTTTCCAGTCCAATTTCTCAGCAGATAAAGAGGGATGTAGAAAGGCACGGACATACCAGCTTTGTTGCCGCGCCAATAGAGTCATGTCCGAGGACCGAGCGAGCGAGACCCGCGATTCCCCTTGCATGCAAAAGGTTTGCCTCCACTACCGAGTTGTAGCAATAGCGCTGCCATTGGAACTGGCACCGGCCACGTTCTGCCCGAACATTCAACGCGTCTCTGAGGTTGTGACAGGGATGTACCGGGCCATCTATCACCTATTCACTCGTGCCGGCGGCGAAAGTAAATGTCTCCTCCTTCCACAGCTATAAATGCCAAGCCATCAATTCCGCCCGGGAGAAGACAAGAAGGTCGATGACTGTCCACCCAGATCAGCGAGAAACTGGTGCCTGTGGGAGCTCACGAAAGATTGGAGACAGCTGCACGCATATCAGGGCATTGAGATTACCGGCATGTAATACAGTGCTGGACAGCCAAAGTCGACAACATTTATCGACTTTTTTCTCAGAGTGCCGGAGGTATCGGAATTGACGCAGTTTCATTCGGGGAACATTTTGAGCACCCTCCGAGCAAAATTGCACGAGCGGATCTTCCAGAAAGGGCAATTTAGTTGATTCTGACCCCAAAATATTGGCCACCCCCCAATTTCTCGTGGAAAATTCGCCGAAAAACCGCCAATCGACTCCTTTTGATGATAGGAGTATGTTGCCGCTAAGCTCGGGTCAGAATTAAATCTGGTAGACTCACAATAAATTATTTAAGTCAGGCCCAACTGGAGTGTCTGAGACTCGCCACCCAGGGAATTGTGAGTATGCTGAGTTGGGGTCTACAGTCCGTGATTAGACATGTCAGAGCAATGATGAAATACATACCTGCCCTGTTGACTCATGTGAGGCTGAATGCACTCCCAAATCTCAAATCCCCCCATGTTCTCTTCTGATATGAGTCTTAGTTCCACCAATACTCAGATACCTCAGTGCTATGCATACATAGGCCAGAGGTAAGCACAGGCAGTGGTAGGTTGATCCTACCTAGACCCAATTAACTAGGTTTTCCCAGGCCACTGTCGCATCGCCAGAATCTTTGTTTGTACCGACACAACAAACCCAAAAGAGGAAGGAATTGATCACGGGCAACTGCACAAGCTTCCTGAATAGGATGGATTTGTTCGAAACAAA